GAGAGGGCGGACATTCCTGGCATTAGCCTGCAGCATGCAGTGGGCAGCGACGCTTTGGCTGAAGCAGACGCGTTGCTTGCACGCAGTGCAGCAACCTTGCATGTGAGCCACAGCCCAATCAATGAAGATGCGACAGACAGCAGCTCATCAAGCTGCCAGGAGCAACAGGCTGAAGAATCAGAAATAAAGCCGGCCAGTAGCTCTCTAGAGGTATGTGGCCCGGCGGCACACACTGAACGTGGTGGCAAAAGAGCAGGCCCAAGCGAGCCCGAAGTGCGAGGCTTGGCCAAATACTTCAAGTTGACTGCAAGCACAAGCTCAGGCGCTCCAGCGACAGCTATCAGCAGCCAACAAAACAGTGGGCGCGACCGGACTGGTAGAGACTTCACAAACAGAGATCAAAGCAGCAGGGATCAGGGCATCCGAGAGTGGGAGGGGCGTGGAGCTCCGAAAGCGCACCGGTCGGGCGCTGGCAAGCACCCCGCCGATCGTGCTGCAAGCAAGAGGGCGGACCAGCGTCGCAGATTGTCTGCAAAGGCGGCGCGTGATTGTGAGGTTGATCGTTCCGATCCGCTGGACACACAGCATACGCCTGTGATGCTTTTTGTCGATAGGATGACTTTGCCGCCACGCGCGGGGCCTGATGATTGCCTGCGGACTTTTCCCGACGAGCCGGAGCCAATGCCGCCCATTTCTTGTTTGTTGAAAGGATGCGAGCACGTGTGGCTCAACAGCAAAGAACAATTTCTGGAACACTGTGACCAAAAGCACGAGGGCTATCAGGCCTACAGGCTTCGAGTGATTCACCTGTTGTCTGCCCAGGTTTTTCAAATACCTGGGTCGTTGCAAAGGTCTGCATTGCAAAACTTTGCAGAGTTTCAATGTCGTTCTGAAACTGCTTGGCATCGCTTCACGCCAGCGATGAGGCAAGAACTTGCAAGCGGCAACGCGCTCAGCCAAAGTGATAGATGGACGCCCAGAACCTGGACCGCGTGTTGTGTATGCGCCACGCAAGACTGGAGTGAAAACATGTGTTTCCAATACATAGCTGGGGCCAAGTGTTGCTTCGAGAGCCCCTTGGCTGTCGCGCAGCTTTTGGACCCAGAGCGCTACATTAAGATGTGGCCTGAGGTGCCGGCTTCTGAGGTGAGAGCTTCAAGTGTCACATTGCAGTTTGTAATCGGAGGACAGAAATGCCTCACAGGCCAACGGCTTTTGTTGCACAAGCGGCGGGTGACAACGCAAGCTGCGTGCGGCGAGGAGACGGCTGCTTTGTGCCTAGGCTGCTTCAAGTCTCTGCGGAAGACCAATCCAGAAATGCCAGTAGACGCGCTAGCCAATGGAAGATGGCTGGGCAGACATCCTGAGTGCATGAGGAGCATGCCGTTCGGCCACCGTTTGCTGCTGCCAACTCGCCGTGTTGTCATGACCAAAGTCGTGTTTACAGCAAATCCAAAAAACCCGTGGGAAAGATCGCATTCCAACAAGGGCCTGGACGGCTTGACGATGGTGGTGGAGCAAGCTGCTGCGGCAAAATGTGTGCTGGAATACCCGCCCTCGGATTTGGGAGAGAGCTTTGAAGCATTGTTTGTGGGAGTTGATCCAGATGACCGCAGGAGAGCGCAGTGTTTTCCCATCAACAAGGAGTTGTTTTTAGCGCAACACGATTTCCTGCAGAAATTCAGCGCTCCAAACAGAGCTGCTTTTTTCAACAAAGAACTTGTAGATGGTTGGACCACTGGAGAAACGCCAGCCTTGATTTCGGCGAAGTTTGCAGATGTCCCAGTGGTAGAGCAGGAAGAAGTCGATATGGAAGAGATTGGAACAAAATATCGCGGGCCAGTAGATGCTACCGTTGCAGCTGCAGATTTGGGAGAGAACCAGGAGAGCCTTCCCTGGACATTTCTGTGCCCAGACACGGTGGCATTGCATCCGGAAACGTGTTGGCAGGTTGCAGCGCAAAAGCTGCAGCGCTTGCAGACCGAAGCAGAAGCAATCAAAAGAGAAGAGCATTTAGCAGAGCTAATTCAGGACAAAGTCCGTCGCACAGCCTTGCTGCAAACAGCCAAAGAGTTTAGGGAAACCGTTGGCGCCATGTCATCGGAAACCTTCTTACGAGCAATCGAGAAAGCTCTGCAAGCAGAAGCGCCTGGAGATGCGCAGCCTTGCAAGGAACCAAGCGCATCCAAGTGTGGCGAAGAGCAGCGCGGTGCAAGTGCAAGCTTTGACGCAAAGTGTGCCGAAGATGGGCAGCCACGGTTAGTTGTTCCAACGCGGCCAAAGTTTGCCAACATGTGGGAGCCCGGGTTCTGGCAACAGTGGTGCCCTATGTGCTGGTGTTACGGAGATTTCGTGCAACCTGGCAGCTTCAGTTGTTTTTCAATCTATGTCGTGTTTTGAGCTTGGCCTGCCATTCTGGCTCAGCTGAAAGCTATAGGGGTTCTAACTTCAAGTAAAGAATGGGTCGGTGAGACTCAGATTTCCGGCCAGGTGCTGGTGCTGTTACAGGGTGCTGTTGCCGGGTGTTGCTGCAGGCCGAGACTCAGAATTGCGCAGCTGCTGCAGGGCAGGGTGCTGCTGCTGCAGGCCGAAACTCAGAATTGCGCAGGGTGCTGTTGCAGGGTGCTGCTGCCGGGTGCTGCTGCAGGCCGAGACTCAGAGTTGCGCAGGGTGCTGTTGCAGGGTGCTGCTGCAGGCCGAGGCTCAGAGTTGCGCAGGGTGTTGTTCCAGGGCGCTGCTGCAGGCCGGGCGCTGTTGCAGGGTGCTGCTGCAGGCTGAGACGCAGAGCTCCGGAGCTCTTGAGGCCGAGACTCAGAGTTGCGCAGGGTGCTGTTGCAAGGTGCCTTTGCAGAGTCCTGTTGCAGGGTGCTGCAGCAGAGTCCTGTTGCAGGGTGCTGCAGCAGAGTCCTGTTGCAGGGTGCTGCCGCAGCCCGAGACTCAGAGTTGTGCCGGGTGCTGCTGCAGGGTGCTGTTGCAAGGTGCTGCAGACGGCGAGACTCAGAGTTGCGCAGGGTGCTGTTGCAGGGTGCTGTTGCAGGGCGCTGCTGCAGGCCGAGACTCAGAGTTGCGCAGGGTGCTGTTGCAGGGGTCTTCCGGCGCGCCGAATCCCGGCACCGTAGGCTTCCCGCAGTCTTCCCGGAGTCAGTTCTTCTGGCTATCATCTCGCGTTGGCGAAGCCATTTGAGAGGCGGCGCGTTAAGCAAATCCACCAGAACATCGGCTCTGAGAGGCGGCGGGTCAAGCAAATCCACTGAAACTCCGGCAAGCGAATTGCCGGAGCACTCCGTTGTGAGAACTATTTTGGCTGCTCTGCCGGGCGGCGTGGCATGGTATTGGAATGGGCATCTTTAGTTCGTTGGCTGACAACACATTCTTGCTATCTGGGGTCTATGTTGGTTTCATTATACCAGGTTTTGATTTCGACTCAAATGGTGTCGCTTTCGGCGGTTTGGGTCCAGATTCCTTTGTCCATGCAAACAGGTCCCAGACGGCGTTTTCTAGCTTTAAGATCTGCATCGCTGTTGCGCAGGTTTTTGGCAGTCAGCGCATCAGCGAGCCATTTTCATTTGACGGGACCCCTTAGATATGTGTTAACTGTGCCAATTACTGGGCCCACGTGTTTTTTTGCCAGTCGTGCTGAGGTATGTACAAAAGAATGTACCCAGTCGTGCTGATAAAAACATCATGTTACAAAAGGGGATTGAGTTTCAGATGCATGTTTTGTGTGCGTTTGAGGGCCGCCGTGCTGAGGTATGCAGACCCACGGCTCAATGAAAAGCCTTATAAGCAGCCAACGTTTCGCCAATTTTGCAAGCAGCTGTGCCGCAGGGAGGAGTTGGAATATGACATGTACGAAAATGAGAATTACCAGGCCGAACTCTATGGAGAAAATCACTGGGATCATCAGCCAGACATTGACAGTTTGCTGCAGCGTTGCGCGCAAGCCGATCGCAAAGAGTTTAGAGACTTGATTGACGACGCATCGTGCAAGTTTGGAGTGAACCGGTTCCGAAAGGATCCTTATGCTTTGCTGGTGTTGTCTAGTTTTTGGAGGCTCATGTCCGGGTTCACGGCAGTGAACATTGCTATGCGTATTCCGGGGATCCAGAATCAGCTTAAGGAATTGGCGCAACTGCCAGAGCAGCTAGCCATGACTTCGGCAAGAGAAGGCGAGAATGATGGCATGATGGGCTTGGTGCAGCGTGCTTCGCACTTGTTCAGCCTGATCACAGGCAAAGTGGTCGGCTCGAACGGCTACAGGGTCTCCTGCAGGCATCATTTTGCTGCGTTCACAGTGCACTTCGGCGCTCCTCTAATCTTTTGCACGCCAAACATTGCCGACAATCGCAACTTTTTGATCCTGCTCCCCCAGGGCATGAAAGTGAATTTGGACGTGAGTGCAGATCCTAGCATTGAGTTGAGCTATGAAGAGCTGCGCTTGAGAGTTGCCAGCGACCCAGTGGGGCAGTGCATAGTGGTGGAATTGCTGCTGCGCTTGTTTGCGCTGCACTGTCTTGGTGCATTGCCCGACTGTGTGTCACAACCAGAGGGCGTGCCGTTGGAGCGCCAGGACTGGGTGAGCGACGGGGTGGCTGCGTCACTGATGTCCCTGGGCTGCTTATGTATTCTGCAGGCAGCACGGGGCGAATTGGAAGCAAGCGGCCGCGGAGCTTTGCATGCCCATTGGGAGGTTTGGCCGGTGTCTCAAACAGTGCAGCAAGCCATGTGCGCATACGCGGGCCTACCGCCGTCCGAGCAAATGGCCAAACTGAAGCAAGTCGTTGCGCAGTGGCTAAATTTCTTTCAAAGGACGCACCACAGCAGTGTGCAGCACTTGCCCCTGGTTCATGGCGGCAAGGAGCCGTGGCGCGACCCCTTGACAATGACAAAAGGCATGCTTGACAGATGTCGAATGGATGGACAGTCAGAGACTCTGCCTGGTTACCATCGCAAGCCCCGGCCTTTGGCAACCAAAGTGCCTGCGACTCTCTTGCCAACGAGGTTGCCTCCTGATTCTTTGTATGAGGTGCCTGACACAGCTGAAAGCCCTGCCCCTGTGCCAGAGGCGGCAAAGAAGAAAAAACCAATTCGTGGTCAAACCTTGACGGCTTTTCCAACATATCGCCGAATATGCGTGCTTCAACAAGACGGAAAAGAAAGTTGCTCCAGCACGGAGCTGTCCGCCGAGCAATGGCGAAGTGCTCATGTTGAAGACGCATGGCACATTCAATCGCGGGCCATGATACATGTTTGCGGCCCATCCTGTTGGAAGTACAACAAGACAGGCACGCGAATTTGCAGGCACCATTCCTACCACATAGTTGTGCTTGAGCCAGACCCAGACAGTGAGATGCCGGCTGAAAAGCAGATTAAGCTGCGCAGGGATGGCAAGCCGCTCAACAACCAACTGTTTGTGCAAGAGGAGGCTGCCAGAGGCAAGAGAGGCAGAATTGCGCCAATTGTGGTAATGCCGTTTGAAACCATGACAAATTACATTGTTGCAGCCAGCCTGCGCTGCAATTTTGACAACCAGTCATTGCTTTACCTGCCTCCCCGTTCTGTTCTCCCCTTGGCACAGTTGCCGAACATCGGCCCCATGCCTGAATTTGCGTGGATGTCGCGCACTGAAGGCGATCTCGAGCCCAAATGGCTGCTTGACGAGCGCCTACCACACACGGAAACAGAAGAAGGCTTGGGCAACTGTGAAGAGCTAATGCAAGAGCTTGAGGCAGAATGCAGAAGTGCGTTCCAGGACGCGCACAACACGGGCTTCTACATCAACCAGTACACCACAAAAATCAATGCTCTCGGGGATGCCTTGATGCAAGGCTTGCGCCGGGCATGTGACAGATTGCAGTCAGAAGAGGCAACCCGTGTGAACACTGAGAGCTCCCAAGCCTCTGCTCAGCAGAAAAGCAAGCAGCGAATCGCAGCATTGTTGCGCAAGATGGTGCATTTGATGAACTCACTGCAAGTCAAAAGCGGCTCTGAGCTCGTTTTTCCAATGATGTACGATCACATGTCTTTTGCAACGCACCGCACGTGGGAAGTGAACCTGAGAGTTGCGTATGCTAAAACGCTGAATAGCTGGGAAAAGTATTTTGATGGCAGCCTGAGAGCACTTCGAAAGCCAGAGTCAGAACTTGCGCAAGCCATAGGGTTTGTGCTGCCAACCAGCATGACAGGCAAAGAGCGCGAGCTTCCCCCAGGATGGCTGTTATTGCCTGCTCCGCAGCCATTGGCAAGTGAAATCGAGGACATGGACGGCCACATCTACATAAGCCCGCAGGGGTGTAGGTTTACATCTCTTGCCGCAGCTTTGCAGCATGCCAAAAAACGTGGCAGCATGGATCACCTTGCCAGCAGAGCCCACACTTTGAAGCACGAAGGGCTAGACGCATCAAATTCCGTGACGGTTCAGTTTACCTCCAATCACGAGGACTACATGCATCGCTGTCAGTCTGATTTGCTCGCCCCTTTGCCCGCGTACGTTTACAACATGTGGGTGTACACTGCGAACAAAAAAACAGACCAGGATCCTCACCGCGACATGTACCTTGACATTCCGTTCAGCTCAGATTACAGAGCAAAGCAAGCAATCAAAATACAGCGAGTCAGCATAGTTCCTCGTGTGCCAGAGATTTCTGGCATTTCTGTGCCATCGCCAGACATAGACCCTCACAAAAACTGTCTCGTTAAGTTGTTGCTGTTCAAGCCGTACAACGCACTAGATGAGATGGATGACCAGGGCAATCCACTGGACCCATACCAGTGCTTGTTTACAGACTCTAATGCGCCTGGAAAGCGCTGCAAAAAGGATCCAGACTGTAACCCATATGATGCTTTCGTGAGCGCGTGGCAGCACTACTGGACATCAGAGGTTCTGCCGCATGCCAGCGCAGCGCATGCAAAAATCGCCATGCAGAAGAACTTTCCCACCATCTGGGAGACTGCAGAGGTATGCAATCACATGGCAACATTGGCGGCAAAAACTCGTGTTACTCTCCAGGCCAAGCTTGCTGCCCGCTTGGAAAGGGATTCAGCAAGCAGGCTAACTCTACCGGAGTATTGCGCCTACATCGTTCGAAAAATTGCAGCCAACTTGGACGCTTATGCCAGAGCAAAGTCAGCTCCAAGAACCAAAAGTTATGCCATTGACGCAGACGCTGTAGATGATCCGACCATCTACAGAAGCTCTGCTGCCGAAGACAACGCAGAGCTTTTTGACGCAGCGCAAGATGACGCGCTAGATCCAGATGATGAGGGGATTGTGAAGCTCAAGGCCGGTGAAGCGCCATTGAAAGTGCACCATGCCCTCAGCCAAGAGGGCCGGCTTAAAGTGCTAGGTTTTCACCGGCAAAGGGTGTCCAAGTTTGTGAGAGAAATGGTTAGTGCTGGCCTTTTGCCTTTAACCTCTGATCAGCAAAAGCTGCGAAAGGTTGCGGAAAGGTTGCCCCAGAAAGTTGGACCCCCCGCGGCTGGCCAGATCTGGAAAGCGACACTACCACCAGTAACGCAACTGATGGTGGAAACTCAGCGAGAAGGTTTGGCCCGCAAGCAGCCGGCAGTAGATGTTGAGGCACCTGCCTCAGACCCGCCGGTGCCAAGCAGTGTTCTTCAAGAAGCTGGCAATCCAGAGGTGGAAGCTTTTTGGCAGCACTTGAAAAGGCCTTCTTACCGTATGGCCGAGAGAGTGTTGGCTTTTGAGCAAGATAAGGCACGAGGCTTTGAACTGACAGCCGAGCAGAGAGCGTTGTGCAGGTGGTTCGGCGAAGCACTTGATGTAGCTTTTGAGGAAGAGGGCAAAGGGGTACCCGTCAATCAACGCACCCAGAAAGCTTGCATGCTTATGGGAGCCGGCGGGACAGGAAAGACAACCATAGTTTTGAAGCTGCTGCTGGAAGTGTTTATTGAGTACTTCCCCGCAATGGACAGCCGGCAACGTTTCATGATCACCACATTCAGCCATGCGCAGGGCGATGCAATTTCGAACGAGAAATTTAGAGCCAAGACAGTGCACGCAGCAGCGAGCTACAGAGTCGCGAGCCTTCGCAACAGAGACCTAGCTTTGAAAACCAAAAGAACGGAAATGGAAAGCCGCTGGCGGTCCATTATTTTCCTGATTGAAGATGAGGTGTCTCTCATTCCGGCCGGGGTCCAAAACATGTTGCTCTACCGTGTGATGCGGGCCAGGCAGAACATGCATGTTTTGAAGCCACATGAATACGGCCACACAGGGCAGCTTTTTGGAAAAATTCCCATTGTCCTCATATCCGGTGACTTTCTTCAAATAAAGCCCGCTATGGAAATTTCCTTGGCGGATGACCTCAGCGCGGCACACGGGCAAAGAGTGTGGGCGGAGCATCAGGTGGCCCAGGATGCCACGCTCGGGATTTGCGATGTGGTTCGGCTGACAAAAAGCAAACGATATTTGGATGAGCACCTCCCTGGAATCACAGCTGCTATGCGCGCAAGCAGGCCGGAAGCACCTATGCTTGAGGCTCACTTGGCTTTGTTGCGGTCTCGCAGGATTGAAGATTGCAAGAATGAGCTAGAAACCGACTTGTTTGCCAACGGCCATGTTGTTGGCTTGTACTGGGAGAATATAGCGCGCAGCATGGTTGAGCGAGCCCACAGGGATGCTCGAAAACTTGATGTGCCTCTTTTTTGCCTGCAGGCCGCGGACCAACGACACAAGCTAGCTAGCAAGACACTTGACCAACAGATCACACACAATTTGCTGACAATTCCAAACCTGCACAAGACCGGCAAGCTGCAGGGGATGCTTTTGATACATGAGCAGATGGTCGTGCGCCTGACCGACGTTCTGTCTTCAGAGCTCGGCCTTGTGAAAGACAAACTTGGCCGAGTAGTCTCGGTGGAGCTCCATGGGGCCGACAAGAAGCGATTGGCCAACCTGCCGCCTGGATACACTCATTTTTTTCCCGACTTTATGGTTACAGGAATCTGGGTTGAGGTTCAGAACTTCAACGGCGCACCTTTGGCAGAGCACTTGCAGGCTGCTGGCCAGAAGCGGGGGCTGGCGCCGGAGCAGCTTGCAAAGGCCTCTTCGCTGCTTTTTGTTGAGCTCGCCCACGCCGAGTTTAGCGTAGAGCTCACGGTGGAGGGCGAGAGCCATCGAGTGCAGGTTCTCCGGTGGCAATTCCCATTGACCCATGGGATGCTTCGCGCTGCATATGCGGCACAGGGCTTAACCTTGGAGGGCGGTGTTGTCATCGATTTACGCCGCGCTGGCGGTCTTAGCGACGACAACTGGTGGCTATCCTTGTACGTAATGCTGTCCAGGGCGCGCAAGTTGCAGAATATGATTTTGGTTGGGTACACGGCGCAAGTCGAAGACCTCTTGAGACGTGGCCCGCCAAGTAGCCTCATCAAAATTGTTGAGAGGCTCGAGCAGAAAGCCGAGGTCACCATGTCGGCGCTGTCGGACTGGCCTGTGTATGACTCGCTCCGGCGGTCAGCTGGCATTTGAAGTGCATCAGTACGACCAAATGATGAAGGAAATGATAAAGGAAAAGTTGCTTGTGTCAGCCTAGAGTTGCTTGAGCACTTTGTTGTGGATTTGCTTAATGTCCCGGCCATGCCAATTGGAGCTGCTGACCAAATTGTGTCAGCCTAGTTTTGGCCAGGTCTGTGCAACTGAAAAAAATCGGAGAAAAAACGCTTGCCATTGATAGTGATAACGTTAAAGTGCGGCCTGCAAGGCATGAGCAAAGTGGCATCGGAATTGCTTGCTTGTGTCAGCCTAGAGTTGCTTGAGCACTTTGTTGTGGATTTGCTTAATGTCCCGGCCATGCCAACTGGAGCTGCTGACCAAATTGTGTCAGCCTAGTTTTGGCCAGGTCTGTGCAACTGAAAAAAATCGGAGAAAAAACGCTTGCCATTGATAGTGATAACGTTAAAGTGCGGCCTGCAAGGCATGAGCAAAGTGGCATCGGAATTGCTTGCTTGTGTCAGCCTAGAGTTGCTTGAGCACTTTGTTGTGGATTTGCTTAATGTCCCGGCCATGCCAACTGGAGCTGCTGACCAAATTGTGTCAGCCTAGTTTTGGCCAGGTCTGTGCAACTGAAAGAAGTCGGAGGAAAAGCGCTTGCCATTGATAGTGATAACGTTGAAGTGCGGCCTGCAAGGCATGAGCAAAGTGGCATCGGAATTGCTTTTGATGTTGTAGCAAGTGGCATCGGAATCATTTTCAGGCCCTTGAGCAAAATAGAGGAAAAGTTGCCGGTGTGGAGGGTGGGGATGGTTCGAAGCCAAGTAATTTTCTTGTGTAAAGGGAGTTGTTGTAGAGGGCGGTTTAGTTCGTCCCCTTTTGTGGTGTCGGGTTTGACTGAACATTGTGTTTTGTAGGGTGGTTTTTGCAAAGGGCGGTTGGGTTGTGGCATCCGTTTGACAGCTTCATGTTTAGAGCTAGTAGCTGGACAAGAGAACGTTTCTTTTGTAGAGCCGGGTTGCCCTGTTTTAAGACCATCTCAGGATATATGGTTGAGGTGTTCGACATGAGGTTTGCTCAATACTTTTACTGCCATCTACAGTCACCAAACTACCACTTGTAAGTGGGGCTTACCAAAGTCCAATGTCGCTGGGACACTTTAAAAATTGAAAGTGGCTCATACCTTTTGGTTGCCAAGTTGATCTGAGTTTCCCACCTCGATTTTAGGACTTTCAACCACGCAAATCCATTGATTGTTCCATCTGCCGGCATACAACAACATAAATTGGGCACCCGCCCCCGTAAGATACATAAGGTAGGGGGGATTCTGAAATGGAGCATGCCATCAGGATGGGGGATCATTTATAGTTTCTCATAGAACGGTGCCAAGCAGCCTGGATTGAGCTTCTTGTGGACACTGCACATTGTTCCCCACCTTCGAAGAGCAACATTTCGTATCGCTTTGCTCTCTGTTCTTGGTTGATAATTATGGGGGGGGGGTTGAGTCGCAGGACTTATATGACCCCTGTTTATACCCACAGGTTGGTACCTCACTTGAACAGGGGAATTTTATAGTTGTGCTATGCGGGACATACTTATTCCCCTTAAGATCAAGCAGCCAAGGGCAGATCGGCTAACTTCGAAATTCCCCTAACCCTCGTTTGGCGGTTTCTCAAGTAGCGATCCGCCACCATGGCGATGGTTTTGTTTTAGCTTCCCTGTCAGTACCAAAGCGGGGTGGGAACCCCACTTTGAGCAGATCCTGTTTGCTCCCTATGATCTCCCTTTAAAACACCCCCCCTCCCAAAAAGGACAAACTCAAACAAGCCCTATGCTTGTGGTTTTCATTTTAACACAACCCCCCCCCCCCCCCCCCCCCCCCCGGCAAGAAGAAAAACACCCTCAAAAATCCGAGTCACATCCAACGTCTCCAGGGACGAGAGCGGCGCAGAGGAGGCGCTCGAGGCGCTGCCTTCGCTGCCCGCCAGCGCGAAAGCCGCGCTCGCGGAGTTCCTTGCGCGCCACGTGACGCTCGGGCGCAGTGGGGGGCTTTCCGCCGCCCGGGACGGCGAGGCGCCGGTTTGGGCGGTGGCTCCTTCTTTTTGGGGGGGTCATTTTTTGGGACCCCACAAAATGAGGGGTTTCTTGGTGTGTCCCACAAACACCACGAAAAGAAGGGGTAGCCTTTTTACCCCATGTAGGGCTGAGTTGTTTTTGAGATGAGACCCGTCTTTGGGATTGATTGAAAGGGAGACCAAAAGGAACGCCACCATGTTTCTGTGGGCTAAAGTTAGAAAGCGGGGGTTCCCTTAAACCATTGAACTTAGTAGGGCCTTAGTAGGGAAGCGCCTGCTTGAGTGGATGGGAGGGTACAGGCCCTGGGCCCTCGAAACAACCCTTTTTGAGAACCCCAAACGCAGTCGAATCCAATTTTTAGGCTAGCCTTTACTCGAGGTGGGCCTCAACACATGAGCGTGGGCAAGAAAGGGCCAAACTCAAAGCCATAGGCCGGGGCTTTTCTAGGGCAGGATGTGGTTCTTTTGGGTGTTGTATTTTTTTCGGTGTAGCCACGCGTGGCGCTCCGAGGCCCCAGCGCGCCGCAGCAGACGACCAGGAGCGGTTGGCCAATCCAGCCTCCTTTGAGAACGTGAAGGGGTTCGTTTGATGTCCCTTTTCCGTGCTCAAGTACCTTCACGTGCTGGTGACTTCCGGACAAGCACAAAGACACTTGGCACTGGAATCATTTTGTTTGCTCGCCCCAGTCGGCGTGAGTTCCCGTGGCCCTCTTGCAGAGGCCTAAGTTTGAGAAGCCCCTCCCCCTATGAACACTCGAAGAAAGCCACAAGGGATAGTTCATGGGAGGTCATGCCGAAGTTTAATTGGGACCATTGCGCAAAAGAAAGGGGTGGCCACATTTGTTGAAGGGTCAAACAAGAAAAGACTCCAGGTTTCTTATTCTTGTCCTCTGGTTGCAGAGTTGATGTTGCCGAACCCAGCCCCGGGATCTTTAGTTCCCGCTCCCTCACAAAGGGGTTTCACCACTTTGCGTTTGAGCGCACTGTTTTGGTGGCCACAGTGGCACGGACTTTGGGGGGCGGGGACGCCAGCCGGGCCGTGGGGCGGAAATGAGCGACGCTACCAGGAGCTCCTGGTGCTGCTGCGAGCGCTAGAGCCAGCTCGGCGAACTTATGTCAATTTGGTGATTCAATGCGTGCTGGGAGTCTCCATGACCCCTAGAAAGTGAGGTTGTGGGGTTACGGGAAACCATGCGGGAAGTCGAGTGTTGAGGGTTGTCCGTACAGTAAAATCCTTCTGTAAAATCCTTCTGAGTATTGAAAATAGGGTTCATTATCCGAAAGAAGGGGTGGCCCCATGTTTCAAGGGTCGGAAGGGGAATTCAGGTACAGCGAATGGAATCACTGGGAATGCCCCAAACGTCACTCGCCGGTTTCGACCCCCCTGTTGGTTGGTAGTTAAAGGGAAGCTGAAAGTAGACCAAGAGTTTTAGCGGAGCACTATTTTGAGAATCTCCCATATAAATATATATGTATGTATATGCATATACTATGTAGATATATATATATATAAGCCCTTCCCCCCAATGAAAAGATCCTCCGCTGAATTGCATGCCGGCCTTTATGTCTTCAGCGCCAGGCTGCTGGCGCTGCCGGACGCGCGCCAGCCTCCTGGCGAAGTGATCGGAAAATGGGGGGTGGTCTCCTCCATGTTCTGGGAAAACTCTGGTGGGTAATGGGAACCTGGTCGAGCAATAGGAGGTTTCAAAGACCCCTGTTGTTTAAAAGGCCCTTGGTTGAGTACAGTTTCATAGACCCCTGCTTGATTAATAGAGGGCGTCCCTTTTAGTAGGGATTCATCACTTTTGGAGCCCAGATGTGGACCAAGAAAAGGTGCAACTGGAAGCTTTTCCACCACCAGGTTGGGCCCCATGCCACGTCATAGGGGAACCACTGTCCGCAGCTTCGGAGTTTTGAGCGCACAGGGTGACCGTTTCACTTTGAGAACCCCGCGCTGTCACCACCCATCACAGTCACCTTCAATTCTCACTGTGCCTCTCAAGATCATTGAACTTTGGTGAGCTCCAGTTTCCTTATGGTAATTTGGTGAGGCTACAATCTAAGAAACCATCTAGAGGAAATTCTCCAGGAAGTTGGCCCAAATCCCTGGTCTTGGTGGGTATTTGGCTGACTTCCCGGTGAATGTTTATAGTTTGGTTAGCTTCCAGGTCTTTGGATGCCGCCACTCCGCCTCAAACCAGGTGTATGGCACTCGGCGATCCGCAAAAATGGGATGGGATCTATTTGTTGGCTTCGAAACAGGAGTTCCATACCAAAGGGAACCCTGGATTAAGCCCTCGAAAAGGTGTGTGCACATGAATCTGGGGCTCACAGCAAAGGAATCCCCCACTGAGTATGGTTCTGGTTATCCGAACAATTTTTCTGGGGAGCCCAGCCTTTTGCCATCCGTTTGTTGGGTGTGTCTTGTTTTTGCAGGACCCCCTCCTTTTGGTGTTCAAAAAAGAAGCCACCATCAAAAGGTACCCTCACAATCCCTCACAAAAGACGCAACAATGGGGCCCTGAACCTTTCTTGTGGGTACTGGCGCATTTTGTAAGGGTCATGAAGACTCCAGGCACCCTCAAGAAAAGACGCACCATGGACGTTTTGAAGCCGCCTCAGAGGTATCTCCACTTGTGCCTTGCGCCGGTTCTGGTGATTTGCCTGGGCACCCGCGAGGAGTCAGGCCCCACCAAGGGGGGGGAGGGTTCGCAAAATATTCGCGAGGTGCGAGGTGCGTCTGAAACCAACAGGAACGCCATCATTTTTCAGGCAGCTTTAACAGCACTTATGGGAACAATAGGTAAGCTTCCTCGGCTGGTGCTTGAAGCGGCAGCATAGGGAGCTCTGTGTTGGGACGGCAGTATTTTGCAGAAAGGCAAAGAAGCAGGGACTGGAAAATTCAGGTTTTTGGAAGTGGTGGAAAAGTACGATTTTGGGGACATGGAGAAGGCGTGGAATATGTTCTTTTTTTGGGCGGGGGGGGGGGGGAAGGAAATGAACAACAGAACCCCTCATTTCAGTCAACACTAAGATGCTTTCTCAAACTTCTAACTTCCCTTAAGCAGGGATTGAATCTGCCTGATTTGATAGCCACAGTAGCATTTGTCAAACCGCTATGATTTGAACCAGGCTTTTCGAGTTCCCGCTTTCTCTCGAGTTTCTGAGGACACACAACTGAAGCGGGCTGTTCCTAAATATATATATATATATATATATACATATATACATAGAATGGGAACCCCTTGTTAAGGGTAGACTAAACATGTTTCAGAATGAGAACACATGTTTTTGGTCCTTGGTGCACCCTTGGGCGTCCAGTAATCTGTGCATGGACTGTAAGAACCTCGCGGACCCTCGGAGGTCAAGACACACGAGTGTCCGCATCTGATCCGACTTTTCTTCTGGGACGGGGTCTGGCTCAACATGAAAGAGCTAGGGCACACTTTTAGTCTTTTCCATCTACTATGCCATTTTGGGGATTCCAATTTGAGCAGCCAGAGGACCCCATGTACATCTCAGAAGGAGACTGGAGGCACCTGCATTCTCCATCGGTTCGGTTCGGACAGGCGAATGCCCGCGGGGCGACGAGCCCCGGCGCCGCGCCGCAGGCGCACAGCTCGAGAGGGCCCCTTTGTTCAATGACACATGTAAAGGATGATGTCCAGTTCAAGGCTTGTCCCCAATTCTTGGGGGTTTGAATGGTCATGAGACGCGAGTCAGTACTCATTCGCCAGGCAAAAAGACAGAACCTACAAGCAAGCAATCACTTGATCATGGGTGAGGTTGCAAACTCCCGGTGGCAATTTGCCCATAATCAAGAACTACAAACTGAACGCTATGATCCTGACTGAATTTGGCTTTGTCCACACAATCCCCTAATTGCCCGCTCCCTCAAAGTGAACGAACCAGACATAGGGGTTTGTCTCGAAATAGCGAGGTATTATTGGTGGCTTTCCCTTAGGTTGCCAAGAAACCATAAACAAAAAGGTACCAACGCAGACGCGCCCAAGGTGTGCACCTTTTCGGATGTGGATTATGAATAAGGCTAGTCCCATGGGCTCAAACATTCTTGGGTCAAACAAGGCCAAGCTCGGCCAAACGAGCCACGGCCAAACTCCCCCAAGAGGTGGGAGAATTAGGTCTCCTCCCCTGGCTTTGCTTTTTGTGGGGCGATTTCGACCCCAATGTCCCCAAATGAAGCATGGGCATCTTGACCGAGCAAATGAACCTTGGAAAGTTTAAGTCTGGCTGGAGTCTCCAGACCTTTCTGAACATGGGGTCATGACCCTTAAGGAGCAATGGCCCAATCTTGAAAGGGTCATGGAGACATGGAGACTCCAGAGGGGGGTTGGGGGTTGGGGGTTTCCCCAGCCCAAATCCACCGCGCAAAGGCGCCCGGAAGCGCTGATTCTTCAGCCCGGAACCTGATTCACGTCACTGGCACCCATCCCCATGATGGTTTCATCCTCCCTTTACCCACGCCAGCAGCCAGGGGAACCAGTATGGGCAAGGTTTACATGGGAAAAGATTAGTGGCTACATTTCCCTTCGCGTGGCCGTGGCCTGTATGCTTAATCCACCATGGTTTAAGCAACCTTTATTTGGCAATCCTTCACAAAGGAAATTGATGTCAAACAAATGAAGTCAAAGTGAAGCTGTAGCAATCGAATTTTCAAGCCACAGTTTCCTTTTGGGTAGAGGGACAACATGTTTGCGCACCTGGAGTCTCAATGACCCTTCAAAAATGGGGTAATTACCCAAAGAAAGGGTCATGACCCCATGTTTAAAGGGCCTGCAGGAGACTCCTGGTAGACAGCCATCTACCTAAGTCAAAAAGCATATGCTACAATGTCCCTTGGGTAAAGGAACACACACATGTGCAGACACCATGTGTCTGCAAGAAATGGTTTGTTGATGGAGTCTTGGGTCGTCGAATCGGGGCTGTCACCAGGCCTCCTGGGGCGCATGGCGCGGCAGTACACCTCGTTGCAGCTGGGTCAAGAGGCAAGTCACTCGAACCAAAGGTGGGTGAAATGCCCCGGGTCCAGCGATTTCCAACTTGTCTCCAACCCAACAGGACAATCCGGCAATTCCCAAACAAAAACACAACCAGGCAGTTTGTTGGTTGCTTTTTCGGAGGGCCTCTTGAGAATCATCCCAAAAGGGGGGATTCCACTGCAGCTTGGGTGCCTTTCGTCAGTTCGGTCACTTTGGTCAACCACGAAACCCTGAGATGAGAATTGGACCCCGTGTCTAAATCATGGGGTGTGTTTTTTAGGGCAGTTGCTTGTTTGGTTGGAAAGACTTTGGCGAACCGTCAGTTTCACTTTTGTAGGATCCACACAAAAAGATCCCCCCCCCCCGCAGGCTCAGTCTGAAGGCAGAGTTTCACTGCCTCGCTATTGTAATGGATTCCCTCCCCCCTCGCCAACTGCCGCCTTGGCTTTCTGCAAAACAAGGCCGGAAGATTCCGATGGAGGAACCCTGGGGTCTTTGCTTTGACACTGGAGCTTTGCAACCTCTTTGGAAGAATCCTTTTGCAGTCCGTAGGCTGCTTGGATGTTAAGCTCACTTAGTACGCAGGTTATAACCATGGCAATAACTTGGGCAATTGGGGTTAGCCTCCTTGTAGCCATGGTCCTAACTTACTATGTGGGTTGAACATCCAAGCGGAATCTATCGGCCGTTCAAGCAGATTCCTGGATTTGTTGTTGGTGAGGCTTAGCGGGTGGTCGTCGCAACAGGGTCTTGGCTTCAGGCAGCTTCAGGCAGAAGCAAAGCAGCCCGGAAAACCGGATGTGTTGAGAGGATGCGCGCCAACAAGCCGGCATTGCCCGGGAAAGCGCCGCCAAGATGTTGAAAAGGGCCCTGAAGGTAGCCATGTTTCGCCCAAGGGACTCAGATATCCCGTAAGCGCTGCATTCTTGAATAGCCCACTCACCTGACGTGGGTATCCAAGAAAGATTGACTCTCCCGTTCGCAACTGCGCAGCGCATTCTCCAACTCGCACCCAAGAGCCCAAGAGGACTTGTCCACCGGAAGAGGCTTCAGCTTGTTCACCAAACTTTAGAGCCTCCGGCTCAGTCCGCCGACATTGTCCTCTCCCTTTTCTCCTTCTTCCTCTCTCCCTTGTCTCCCTGGTGTGTTCTGTCGTCCTCTCTCCCTCCCTCCGCTCCCCATCCTCCCCATGCCCCCAAGCCACTCTGTCCCCAATCTCCCTCTCTCGTATGTATGTATGTATGCATGCATGTATATATGTATGTATGTAATGTATGTATGTAATGTAATGTAATGTAATGTAATGTAATGTAATGTAATGTAATGTAATGTAATGTAATGTAATGTAATGTAATGTAATGTAATGTAATGTAATGTAATGTAATGTAATGTAATGTAATGTATGTATGTAATGTAATGTAATGTATGTATGTATGTATGTATGTATGTATGTATGTATGTATGTATGTATGTATGTATGTATGTATGTATGTATGTATGTATGTATGTATGTATGTATGTATGTATGTATGTATGTATGTATGTATGTATGTATGTATGTAATGTATGTATGTATGTATGTATGTATGTATGTATGTATGTATGTATGTATGTATGTATGTATGTATGTATGTATGTATGTATGTATGTATGTATGTATGTATGTATGTATGTATGTATGTATGTATGTATGTATGTATGTATGTATGTATGTATGTATGTATGTATGTATGTATGTATGTATGTATGTATGTATGTATGTATGTATGTATGTATGTATGTATGTATGTATGTATGTATGTATGTATGTATGTATGTATGTATGTATGTATGTATGTATGTATGTATGTATGTATGTATGTATGTATGTATGTATGTATGTATGTATGTATGTATGTATGTATGTATGTATGTATGTATGTATGTATGTATGTATGTATGTATGTATGTATGTATGTATGTATGTATGTATGTATGTATGTATGTATGTATGTATGTATGTATGTATGTATGTATGTATGTATGTATGTATGTATGTATGTATGTATGTATGTATGTATGTATGTATGTATGTATGTATGTATGTATGTATGTATGTATGTATGTATGTATGTATGTATGTATGTATGTATGTATGTATGTATGTATGTATGTATGTATGTATGTATGTATGTGTATGTGTATGTATGTATGTATGTATGTATGTATGTATGTATGTATGTATGTATGTATGTATGTATGTATGTATGTATGTATGTATGTATGTATGTATGTATGTATGTATGTATGTATGTATGTATGTATGGTATGTATGTATGTGTATGTATGTATGCAATGTATGCAATGTATGTGTATGTATGTGTATGTATGTGTATGTATGTATGTATGTGTATGTATGTAATGTATGTGTATGTATGTATGTATGTATGTATGTATGTATGTATGTATGTATGTATGTATGTATGTATGTATGTATGTATATGTATGTATGTATGTATGTATGTATGTGTATGTATGTATGTATGTATGTATGTATGTATGTATGTATGTATGTATGTATGTATGTATGTATGTATGTATGTATGTATGTATGTATGTATGTATGTATGTATGTATGTATGTATGTATGTATGTATGTATGTATGTAATGTAATGTATGTATGTATGTATGTATGTATGTATGTATGTATGTATGTATGTATGTATGTATGTATGTATGTATGTATGTATGTATGTATGTATGTATGTATGTATGTATGTATGTATGTATGTATGTATGTATGTATGTATGTATGTATGTATGTATGTATGTATGTATGTATGTATGTATGTATGTATGTATGTATGTATGTATGTATGTATGTATGTATGTATGTATGTATGTATGTATGTATGTATGTATGTATGTATGTATGTATGTATGTATGTATGTATGTATGTATGTATGTATGTATGTAATGTATGTATGTATGTATGTATGTATGTATGTATGTATGTATGTATGTATGTATGTATGTATGTATGTATGTATGTATGTATGTATGTATGTATGTATGTATGTATGTATGTATGTATGTATGTATGTATGTATGTATGTATGTATGTATGTATGTATGTATGTATGTATGTATGTATGTATGTATGTAATGTATGTATGTATGTATGTATGTATGTATGTATGTATGTATGTATGTATGTATGTATGTATGTATGTATGTATGTATGTATGTATGTATGTATGTATGTATGTATGTATGTATGTATGTATGTATGTATGTATGTATGTATGTATGTATGTATGTATGTATGTATGTATGTATGTATGTATGTATGTATGTATGTATGTATGTATGTATGTATGTATGTATGTATGTATGTATGTATGTATGTATGTATGTATGTATGTATGTATGTATGTATGTATGTATGTATGTATGTATGTATGTATGTATGTATGTAATGTATGTATGTATGTATGTATGTATGTATGTATGTATGTATGTATGTATGTATGTATGTATGTATGTATGTATGTATGTATGTATGTATGTATGTATGTATGTATGTATGTATGTATGTATGTATGTATGTATGTATGTATGTATGTATGTATGTATGTATGTATGTATGTATGTATGTATGTATGTATGTATGTATGTATGTATGTATGTATGTATGTATGTATGTATGTATGTATGTATGTATGTATGTATGTATGTATGTATGTATGTATGTATGTATGTATGTATGTATGTATGTATGTATGTATGTATGTATGTATGTATGTATGTATGTATGTATGTATGTATGTATGTATGTATGTATGTATGTATGTATGTATGTATGTATGTATGTATGTATGTATGTATGTATGTATGTATGTATGTATGTATGTATGTATGTATGTATGTATGTATGTATGTATGTATGTATGTATGTATGTATGTATGTATGTATGTATGTATGTATGTATGTATGTATGTATGCGTATGTATGTATGTATGTATGTATGTATGTATGTAATGTATGTATGTATGTATGTATGTATGTATGTATGTATGTATGTATGTATGTATGTATGTATGTATGTATGTATGTATGTATGTATGTATGTATGTAATGTATGTATGTATGTATGTATGTATGTATGTATGTATGTATGTATGTATGTATGTATGTATGTATGTATGTATGTATGTATGTATGTATGTATGTATGTATGTATGTATGTATGTATGTATGTATGTATGTATGTATGTATGTATGTATGTGTATGTATGTAATGTATGTATGTATGTATGTATGTATGTATGTATGTATGTATGTATGTATGTATGTATGTATGTATGTATGTATGTATGTATGTATGTATGTATGTATGTATGTATGTATGTATGTATGTATGTATGTATGTATGTATGTATGTATGTATGTATGTATGTATGTATGTATGTATGTATGTATGTATGTATGTATGTATGTATGTATGTATGTATGTATGTATGTATGTATGTATGTATGTATGTATGTATGTATGTATGTATGTATGTATGTATGTATGTAATGTAATGTAATGTAATGTAATGTAATGTAATGTAATGTAATGTAATGTATGTAATGTAATGTAATGTATGTATGTATGTATGTATGTATGTATGTATGTATGTATGTATGTATGTATGTAATGTATGTATGTATGTATGTAATGTAATGTAATGTAATGTAATGTAATGTAATGTAATGTAATGTAATGTGTATGTATGTATGTATGTATGTATGTATGTATGTATGTATGTATGTATGTATGTATGTATGTATGTATGTATGTATGTATGTATGTATGTATGTATGTATGTATGTATGTATGTATGTATGTATGTATGTATGTATGTATGTATGTATGTATGTATGTATGTATGTATGTATGTATGTATGTATGTATGTATGTATGTATGTAATGTATGTAATGTAATGTAATGTAATGTAATGTAATGTAATGTAATGTAATGTATGTATGTAATGTAATGTAATGCAATGTAAGGTAATGCATGTATGTATGTAATGTATGTATGTAGGTCTGTCTGTCTGTCTGTATGTATGTCTGTATGTATGTATGTATGTATCCTTGCACTTCCCCTTTGCTCCCCAGTATTTCCCGCAAAATACACGGTGTTTCCCGCGTTTTCGCAAAGAGGATGTCCAAAAACACAGAGTTTTGCCAGATTTTCGGCAAAAGGATGCAGGAAGCCCAAGCCAGCAAAAAAGCCGGCAGGGGGAATCGAGCCTGGGACCCCTGCTTTGCAACACCGGCTCCCCGAAGACTACGTTTAGTGGAACGTCATCAAATTGCCGCGCGGTACGTGGGGGCCCCCCCCCCCCTCCCCCCCAAAAACCTACGTAATAGACGTCGGGCGGGGGGGGGGTTAGGGGGTGGGGGTTATCCTCTATCCTCTCTTAGGTGTCCGACACGCCGAGCGGACGACAGCCCCAGTAAAACAAGGGCCCAAAAACAAACGCTCAAAGGCGCCAACAGATAAACACTTCCCAAGGAAAAACGCCTGCCGAACACCTCCGCCGCCGCCAGCTGCTGCGGCTCCTGGAGAAGGCGATCCGCCGCCTGCCGGGCGCTGCCTCGGCGCCGCTGGCGGGAGCCGCGCTCTTGGCGCTGCAGCTGGGGCCCAGGGCCATTGAGGCCGTGGCGCGTGCGTCCCACGCGCGTGTGGCGCGTGTGGCGCGGGCTGGGCTGGGGAAATCACGCCTTCTATTGGCTTATAGGAAAACCAAAAGACAAGCCGAAACCCGGGTTGGTTTGAAATTCCTCAGTGGCTGTGAGACCAAAAGCTTACCTACCTTAGGTATTGGGTGAGTTTGCGTTTGCAGAGTCTAGGGCCTTTGGGTTTCATGGCACAGGAGGACCTCTTACTGGATGGCAGATAGTCTATGATTTCTTGTTCCCGCGGCAAGCAAGACGGGATGGGTAAGTGTTGATTTCGGTAAGTCATGGTGGTTTTCGGACTACCGAAAGAGTGTCCAACTTGAACGGCATCTACTGTTTGGGTGCAACACAACTATCAGAGATACAGCTGGCAGCTGCGCCGTTCCTTCATGGATTTATTTGTGTGTGTGTGCGTGTGTGTGTCTTTTTGAGGCTCAGTGCCCTGCTTTATTATGCGTTATGGGGGTTCCTCAAAACAGGAACCACACCCATTTGCCTTGGTTCTTGGCAAGCATTTTGAGGCTGGGGTGGGACCTAGCAGCTGGGACCTGCCTGCGCTTTGAGCCTTTGGGTGTGCAATTCTACGATGTTCTTTTTGTTTGCAGCGGTTTCCTTTACAACTCTACTTGACAAATGTTCATTTGTTCAACCTGTTTGACAGGGTTACCTTTGTTTGCTTCTGAAAGGCAAATGTTGGGTGTTGTTGCAGTGTTTTCTACGAAAAGAAGAACAGTGCTCCAACTGTGTTTGGCAGGGGTCCCGTTTTCTATTTGTTTAAGGCAGGGGTTTGCTTTTTAACTCTACCAAGCAACATGCATTTGTTCAACGGTTTTTGGCAGGGTACCTTTGAGAAACAGACTCATATTGCACTTGTTGGCAACTGTTCCTTTTAAACTCTGCGAAACAAGTGCATTTGTTCAGCTTGGTTTTTCAGGGGTTCCTTGTTGTTTTTTTCGGCGGAACTCCGGTGGATATCGGCTTGGCTTTCTGAGGCTTGACGGATGCCACGGGTCCCTTGGTCCGATTCCCAGACCGGGCCCCCCCCGGAGCGGCCCCGTGAATTTCCACGAGAGAAAGAGGCACTCTGCCAAAATAGTTGCAAAATTCATAACAGAGCCAAGCAAAATGAGTTGATTTTGGCCCAGCCCTCAGAAAGTTCCTTTGAACCCCAAGTACCTGTGTCCTTGTGACCCTTCAAAATGGGGCCATCCCTTCCTTTGGTTCCATTGCGTCAGAAAGAGACTCATGGTAGTAAAAAGCTCTTTCCACCCTAAGCATCCGACTCAGGCGCTGCTTCTGGGTCTGCAGCCCCTGGCCCTGGCCGCGCGGGGGGCCGCGGGAGCCTTCGGCACGTCCGGCGGCCACGCGGTAGCGGCGCACGCCTTTCTGGCGGTGCTGCGAGCGCTGAGGCAGCTGGCTGCAGGCATTTGGGCGGGTCGAGTGCAATTTGGGGGTGGTTGGGGTGTTTGTGATTGTGGGGGGGTGGCGTGGCCGTTTTTTTTTTTTTTTGTTGTTGTTGTTTGAGCATGGCTGTTTTGTTTGTTTGAAAATAGAGGGTTAGTTTGGGGGGTTGTTGGGGGGTTGGAGCTTTAACCCAACCAACGCTCATTCTTTATGGTGCACCGCAACCGAACAACCTGGTCCCTTTCAATTCGCGTCGTGCGGGGTGCCATCGGTCTGGAGGGCGATGGGGCGTCTCCACCTTTAGGGGGCCTGCGTTCCTTTCCTGAAGATGCGAGGCATATGGGGTTTGGTCACACAATGCAGCAGTCTACGGTCTATTTGGGAGGGACATGTGGAAACTTGCTAAATTTTCCCCAAAACAGATTGAACTCACTAAACTTTCGATGGCCTTTCGGAGAAACCTGGGTCATTTTGACCATAGCTCACATCATGGGAAACTTGTGGATAAGTCTGGGCTCCGGGAAATGGGAGGACAGGGATACAAGCGATTGCGGCCCCATGAATGTCCTTTACTTGGGGAGCCCCAACTTCTGGAAGCTTTGATAAACTTCTAGCAGGTGAGTTGGGGATTTATGCAGAAACCTTTGCTTGTAGGTGTTCCCTTTAATATCAGCCTCCCCCTGATTGAGGTGCTTTGGATCGGTGGTTTGAGGACTTGAACCCCTGGCTTCTGCTTCTGCAGAGGCAAATGGAAAACCACCCCTAGCCTGAGTAGGCTCAAGTTTGGCCTCTTTCCCCCCAAGGCTTATTGAGTCCTATCCTGGGGTCCCTCATGCCTGTTGTGCCCCCTTTGTGGCATTACTTAGAAATGTCATTGTTTAGTTTTTGTTGTGGACTTCAGAACTTCAGAGAGTAATTTAGGATATGTTTGTGTTATTAAGATAATTTCAACTTAGACATCATATTTATGGAGTCTTCATACCCTTCAAAAATGGGTCAGGACCCCTTTTGAATGACACCCTTTTTCAGGGTCACGCAGACTGTTTTCGGCCACCGCCTCAGCGAATTCAGCGGGTTGTCGCCACGTGAGGCGACCCGAGCCTCGCTGCGGCCCAGCGCGAGCACGTCGCCAGCCTCTTCGGAGGCGTTTCGCGCGTCGCACCGAAGAGCGGCTCTGACTCTCGGAGCGATGCGCAATGAATTCCCGGCAAAAACCACACAAGAGGCTAACAAATTACACGCATCGTCCTTCCAATCATGGCAATATCGTTTTACCAGACCGCAGGTCCCAGATGGACTATTACTATACTTGCCTGTTTGAGAAGCCCCCTGTTCACCTTTGCATTTCTCTTGCGAGGGTTTTATCGACCTTTCAAACGAGATCAAAAGAGAGGGGTCGAAGGTAGTCTTTTTTTGGTGCATCCAGGGTTGACAGTGGGGAAGTGAAGTGGGTGTGTCAGTCTAGGGTTTAGGGTAAACTTGAAATGGAGGAGCTTTTGCAGGGCCAAGCAAACCTTAAGTGAGTGTTGCTTCCAATGGAGTAACGTTTTGTGGGAAATGACGGCATTGGCATTGGGTTTCCCCCCTTCTTGCATAGGCTGAACATGTGTTCCGTCACTCATTTTTACTCAGGTGGTTGTCCTTGGGCGTTCAGCCTCTTTTCTGGGTGTGCGCCGTCCAGTCGGTGTTGATTCACCTCGTGAGCTCACACAACAGGGTAGCTCCACTTGGGGAACTCAGCAGGTTGTGACCTACTAACCAGGCACCCTAGCGACGCCAAGCGGGCGCCAAAGTGGGAGAACTAGTTGAAGCCAGGTTTGGGTCTGGAATAGAATGAACCGATAGGAACTTAGACGTGGAATCATATAGCTTCTATCGAAGCACTTTAGCTTCCCAAAAACTCCCTAGCAAGTCACAAAGGTTTAAACTGACATGGGACTCACTAAATGTGCTACAAAATGCGGACCCCACATTCTCCCATGGTTTGTGGGAACTGGAACGTCCGTTGCCAACTAACAGGGGTTGCACAGGGCGGTTGCGAACTGGTTCTCCCTTGGATGCCTTTGGTTCTCATGTGCGTGTGTGTGTGTGTGTGTGTGTGTGTCTCTTTTGTTTAAGGGTATTCTGTTTGGAGTTGTAAAGGAAGTCAACGGGAAACCGCCTATTTATTGGGGTGTTCCTTTTTGTGGGGGGAAAACAACAGACAGTTCCAACCACTTTAGGGGACCGATTCCTTTTTTGAGAAACCCTCAGTTAGGGACAGCTTTGCATCAGGATTCCCCTGGTTCCCGTCCATTTAGAGACAGCTCCATTTGGGTGTGTTCTTTTTGAAGGGCGGAGATGCCCTTTTCACCTTCCAGGAGTCCCCATGGCCTTCACACGGATCATTACCCACAAGAAAGGGGTCCTGGCCTTTTTTTCCATCATGGAGACTCCCGGAATTGGAGACACCGAACCCCCGGTATTTTTTGTTGGGTCCCAATCCCTGTTTTGACACGCGGTGACCGAAATGGATGGCTTCGAGCGAATCCGATGGCCAGTGGAAGTGGAGTGCCTGGCGCTGGGCGGGCTCTTGGACCTTCCGCGGCCAGGCGAGCCGTGTGTGGCGCGGTGCGGCGCGGTGGTTTTTGGAGTTGCCCTAAGCATCATTGGACCACCCTAGGACCATTGGAGGGTTGTGTTCACCGCAGAAAGGAATTGCCTTTCCAAGTGGGTTTAGGGGAAGCCAGAAGGAAATCCGCAGCCAGTTTAGGGTAGGGATACCATGGTTGACATTTTGTGTAGTGCAGATCGATGTTTTGCCCTTTCTCAGCTAGGCCGCGGCCGCAAGCGCCAAGTCGAGGAGGAGGAAGTGGAAGATGAGGCGTGGCAACGTGGACGGTAAACCCATCTCATTGGAACGCGTTGCTCTTTGTTGGTTTGGTGGGTTCCTAACAAAGAATGGACCACCCAACCCCCTTTTTCTAGCAGGGTCCCTGGGTAACTGGGACCTGGTAAGTTACTTACGGGATTGGTTCCCTTAACTGCTGCGGGTCGAACACCACGTGGTTGGGAGAGTCAATCAACGTCAAGGTTTTGGCTTGACCTACATGAAGAAGATTCCTTTCGGGACCCTGAATGATCGTTTGCTCAGATTCAAATACTCTCCTCCAAAGCTATGATGAATGCAGGGTAGACTCAATGATTCTGACGCAGCATTTGGACATAGTTTTGGAGTCCCCGGCGCAGGCCGAGTCTCGATCATAATCCCCAAACCTTCACTTTCGATTGCCAGCTCATTGGGTAGGGGTGTGTTTCCTACAAACGCGCAGGCTCCCCTCGAAAATGGGACACTCCCTATTCATGAACCAAGGGTTTATTAGTCCTGGGTTCCCATGCGGAATGCTCCCCGGCTTTCGGGGGCGAATGGGTGTTAGTTGTTTGAGGCCCAAGGTACCCTTGTCATCTTGGTTTAAAGAGAAAACCAAAAGGACAAGTGCCATCCCTGTATTGTTTGGTGGTGTCAAACATCATTTGGCTATGAGTTTCAAGAGTTGGAACCCCCTGAAGAGTGATTGTTGGACAGAAATACCCACCTAAATGATGTCCACCAAAGGTTCCCCCAGTGAAAGATGAAGCCTCGCGTGTTGCCGCCAATTTCAAGTGATTTCCATCATGGACAGGGCCTTTTAACCCAATTCGTTCGAAACTCGACGTGGCTGATTTCAGTTTGGCTCTATAGAATACCACCGCCGCCTGTAGTACACAAGGACAGCTGTGGCGTGGACCCCTTTCTGGAGGGGCGTTAGAGGGAGCCCAAACCAACCACGTGCAATGATCGATCCATTTACAGAAGGACACGCTCCAAGAGCCATGCCAATCGCAAGGTTCCGAGCGCAGCGCCCGAGCGCGAGGCACGGGAGGCAGGCCCGAGCCGTGGATTGAAACGCCATACATAAGGAAATTGGGGGCGTGGTGCAGCTTGTTGGGGGAGTTCCCTGAAGTGATACAGTTGGGTGAAAGTAGGTGCAAGCTCCCCTTGTTTCATTTAGGCATGCCCTGGGCTAAAGTCAGGTAACCAGTTGTTGGTGGTTGTCGAGTTGGGTTTGAACCCCTGGGTTTTGTAGAGGGTTAATGGGTCTTTCCGCCCCAAACCGTGCTTCGGGAATTGTGTCTACCAACACACCCTGTGCCTTTAGAGACGTTAAAAATCGAGCTGGATTCAACTCGAGCTGTGATTTGAACGATGGTAGAAAGCTCTATTGGGTTCATTGTTTTCTCTTTCAGCTTTTTGGCCCAGGGTTTTGGAGCAACCTAGTTCGGTAGAACTTACTGTTTCAATCGCAGTTGGGGGTCCATCTAGAGGGTCCCCAAGACACTGGGAAACATACAGGGTGTATAGGGTATATAGGGTTTGACAATATATGAACCAGAAATCAGACATAGAAATCATTTTCTGCGCGCCTCTCTTGGGCCAAGTTTGGTTTTGGAGGTGAGAGCGGCGAAGATTGCGCGTGACAGCAAGGCGCGGGGGTCGCGGGGTCGATGAGTTCCTGGACTCCTTGCTGGCCAGTTGAGTGGCAATCGAAAAGCTGATTTGCTCCCCAAAATTCACCTGGGACCCAAAAAGGGGCAGCGCAAAAGGAGATTCCTCCAAACATGGTGGGTGTTAGGGTTCCATCAAACTAGTACTTTCTTGGCCAACTCATGAAGTGGTAAGGCATCCTTGAGGTAGATTTCCTGGGTCTGAAGTCTATCGCCGGGAATGGCCTGATGGATCTGGATCCCAGGTTCTGCGAGGGTTCGATCCTTGGGGATCCACGAAGATCTCCGACTCAAGGCATGGGGGGCTGTTATTGCCATTGTTTGAGGAGCTGCATCCTCTAGTTTGTTTGCGTCATTTTGGATGTGTACTTCACATCTCGGTTTACATCCCCAGTTGGAGATGTGATTGTCCATCATCTGAAGCAAAACAGGGGATGTGACAAGAGTCGACGGATTGGTTCCCAGACTCAACATGACTGCCCTCCCTCCCACCTGAAAAATACACTTCCTCTTGTGGAACCCCCCTATCAGGTGCCATGTTAGTGGGAGTGAGGGTCAGGGTCATTAGAAGGTGTCCACTCCCTTTGTAATTGTCTATTTCACTGCAGCCCAGGTTGGGCTTTCATGGGTTTTCTTTCCAAACAGGGGGGGGTGCAACCCAAGCCTTCTCTAGTCAAGCCCATTTTGAAATGCCACTAATTCTTGGATACGTCACAAAGTCCCGGCCTTACAAGCCCCAGTTCCAGGTCCCTTTGCCGCTGAGCTAGGACTTGGGGTCCACTTCTGGGGGGCTTGGCGACGTTGCCAGGAGTTCCTGCATCGCGCGCGGGCCAAAGCTATGCCCAAGGCGCGGATTCGGGCACCTCAGCCCATGCTTTTTGATCTTTGTGTTTGTTTGTTCTCCAACCCTGAGTTCTTGGATTTACACTTGTTGGGTTTATGGTTTGGACCGTTTAGTGGCAAACAGGACTGTTGTTGGCCAGCCTCGGGAAGTGAACCAACAACTGAAAGCTATTGGGTCTCCCAGGAATCGGCTCGGGAGTGGGTTTTCCATGCGGACTACTGGTGCCTTTAGGGGGTTGGGATCCTTGCAGGAGCCCCAAACTTGATTTAGGGGACACCCTAGCACCTGGAGGGTGCGCCCATTTTTGTTAGTAATTGCCACAGGTATCGAATCAACCTTTGGACATTGGCTTTCTCTTTTGGTCCATGTCCCAGAAGGTTGATCTCTCATTTCCAGGTCCTTTGGGCGAGTGAGGGCTACTCCCTTCCAGGCGAACTGGGTGCATCTCCCTTTTTGGGCTGACATTTTCATTGAGTTCCACTTTAGTCTGCGTATGTACAGGTTCATGAGTACAGGGTTCCTGGATGAATTCAGAGTGGGTTACCATGATCAAAGGTCAACCGTCACAGGTCAACGGACACCCGCTAAGCAGTTCGAACACCCAAGCAGCTGCCGGCCCCCGACGAATGAAGCCGGAGGTGCGAAAAGGCAAGACCGCACCGCACGCTGAGCCGCTCACGGCGAAGGTGCTGCTACATCTGTAGAGGCGGGATATGGAGGTTCAGTGGATTGATCCCTCAGAATGCATGTTCTGTGGCGGGTTTCCCAGTGAAATGGTAAACGATTCCATGCACAAAATATTTGCTTGTTTCGTTGGGATGTGACTGGTTCTCCCAATCGACGAAAGCCAATTCTGGCTCCAGCCCCAGGTTGGGGCGTTCCATGGTTGGTGGCAGGGTTCGTGTAGAATTTTATTTTCCTCGACTCACCGCAGTTTGGAGGTTTGGATGTGCTCGGAGCAGTGAGTTGGACTGCACCCGCATGCGTCGTGGCCGCTTTCCGCCAGGAACCGGAGCTCAAGATCTGCTTTCCGCTTTCCCTGCGGGTTGCCCGGCTGGGCGAGTTTTCTGCGCGGATCGCTAGGGTCAAGGCAATGCACGAAATCCTGAAAACGCACCAGATGAATGAAACCCGAGTTGAATACCGGTTTATAGATCGCGTACCTGATGTGAAGTGGATATTTTGCATCCACTGTACCTGACCTTTCTGCCAACTTTTGCCCCGAACCACAGATTCTCCAATCGCTGCTAACGTTCCCCCGGATGTCCCTGTGATGCTGGCCCCTTTCGCTCTGCGAGTGCAGCTCATTGCATGATCTTGGAGGTTTTGCGCTCAAGACTGATGGCTATACAGTGGATGGACGAAACCTTGCACCACCTAAATGAGACCATCATATTAGGATATATGAACGTGTGTGAGGTGGATTTCTGGATTTGGTGCAGGAGTTTGTCCGTCCACAGTAGGAGTTAGGTGAGGTAGGTGCGATGAACTTCAGCAGCCTCTGCTCCAGGGACCAAGAGTCCGTGCGGAGGGCTGCTGAGCTCAGTGCCGCCGTGTATCGGGAGCCCACAGGCAAGGAGACAGATTTTCAGGACCTCGTCGGTCACAGGGTATGTGTCAAGACAGACCCTCAAGCCGGTGGGTTGCCCTTTCCCACCTGAAGGGTATATGCTCGCAAACGCAAACCCAATGTGTATTCAAGCTTTAGTTTGTTCTGTTTGCTTCACTGGGCATACAAAGCACGCAGTTGTTTTTGCCACAAAGAGTGAGAAAAGGACATCTACAGCGTCAACCGTGCCATGTTCTGGACACAGCCTGGCGCTGTGGCCTTTCGAGGCACCAATAATTTCTCGAACGCGATTCAAGATGTGCAGTGCGGGATGCAGCCGTTGGCAAACTCCAACATACGTGGAAGGGTGCACCGAGGATTTCAAGAGGCATTGCTCAGGGTGAATCCATCCAAGATTGTGAAGCGCATGGAAGGCGCCAACGAGTCCACTTGGCTTGTGACAGGCCATTCGTTGGGTGGTGCAATGGCAACTCTCTTTGCGCAATTTTGCTTGGAGCGAGCTTCGGGCAACGTTGTCCTGGTTACTTTTGGAGCCCCTCATCCAGGAGATTCCGCATTCCAGCAAGAGATGGAGAAGCATGCACGCTCTGGACGCCTTCGGATTGTCAGAATGACCAACCACTTGGATCCGGTTCCGTCCCTTCCTGGTGTAGTTGCGGGGGAGTTCCGCCACCCATGTAGCCCAACGTTTGCGGACGTGTTACCTGCACAAATCTGCCATACGGTGGTTGATTTTGTTTCCATGATGTTCCGCAACATGAAGTGGTTAGATGGCTGCCACGATGAGTGCGCTCCGCTGCATGATCTAGCAAAACGCAATCACAGCATGGATGTGTATGTCAGGAACATTGCAGACTTGAACGTGGCGCATGCTTGCAAGACGGTAATGGAGTTCTGCAAGGCAGCCACATCTTTCACAGGCGTGCCACTTCCCCCAGCAGTGCAGGTGTTCTTGGATGTGTTTTCTGCTCCTCAGTGCTCTGCTCAGCAAATCGGGTGTCAGTTTGGTGCTGCTTCAGTGAATTGTTTTCAGGAGTCACTTGCCAACAAGCTGTCTGGGAGTCTGAGCTTGTCGCATGAATCTGCGTCAGAAGCCATACAAATCATTTCCCAGGGCCTCCAGACTGCTGCCGGCACAGGACGGGCTGACCTAACCGCTATTGAGGTGTCAACGCGTGCTGCTTGGGCCTATGCGATTGAGGGGCGGGTGATCAGCTGGTTCTCAAGATGGTCCGAGGGTTTGTCAATGGACGTGCTGAAGAAGATGTCTGGAGCCGTCCTATGCGGCGTGACTGCATGGATGAAAGACTCCTACGGATACATCCGTGCCTTTATGTCCGGTGAGATCGATGGCTTTGACACGCTCAAAGCCATCATGGGAGCAGGCTTTGAAGCTGTTTGCCTTGCCGCTGGAGGAGCTGCGGGTGCGTGGGCCTGTTGCACGACTGCAGTTGCCATTGGCTTGACAGGTCCCATCGGCTGGTTGTGTGCAGGCTTGGCGGGCTTGGCGGGCACGGGGCTGGGCGCGTACCTGGGCAAGATGCTGGGCACCAAATTGCGAGGATGGTTCCATGAGATGTTCGGGGGCAGCCCAGATATGGCCAAGCTGTGACTGGTCATGCTTTGCTGCTGCTTTTGGTCCTTTCTCCATGAATGCGGGTTGATCAATATTCTGGCCTCCAATTGACCATGGGCAACTTTTCGCATGGTGAAAGTCGTTTCTTTTTTGGTGGTTTCCCTAGTGGTCACCCGGGCTTTACGGACCTTTTGATCAACCCCCACATGCCATGCAAACAACCAAATGCCTCTTTCTTGGTCCTGGCTCCCGACTCAAATGCCTCTCACACCCCCTCACAAGTGGGTGGTGGACTACATGATGTCCACCAAAGGGCCATGAAGTCCCCAAATGCAAAACCACCACGCTCGCTAATCATAGGTTTTAGATTAACGGCTATTGGCCTTCGGTGGTCAAATGGAGGCTGCCGCAACACTTTGCAATCCGGATTTTGACCGCTAACCAATCAAATCTACACTTCCCAACAGTTTCCCCAGTGGATTGTCAGGTGGGGTTCATTTGCAAATTGGCAAATATTCCCTACTGTGGAAGGCCAGCTGAATTGACTCAGGGTTTGGTTTTAGCTCAGCAACTCTGTGTCTGTTTACGATGTTTTGAGCACCATACCTGTTTTCTTGGGCCAATAATTCTGGTTGACTCCGGGGTTCGGGTATCGCCGACGCTGAGGCGAGCCTACAAGGAGTTGGGCCTCAGCAGCTCGGCCTCGCCGGACGAGATCCGAACGGCTTTCAAGCACCTTGCATTGCAGCGGCACCCCGACAAAGGCGGGCAGATGACAAGGGAGCCAGAACCCAGAGCTCCATATGGTGGGTTGTGTCCTTGTGCCATATTTTGTTTCTGGAGGGTGTCCCTTGAAAATCAACTACCAAAATCCAGAGGCCCCTTTTTGTCCATGGCCACTGGGGGTCTGGGAAAAGCAAAACCGGGATGAAGTGATGAAGTTTGTGTACGTGGGTGTCTTGCTGGTTCGCAGTGACGAATCACGCAAGGGTTTGCGGAATGCACCGCTTGGAATTTCCCAAAAGGAAACCACTAGCGACAGATCATTCCCTCATGCCTACTTGAGTAGACCACTTTTATGCAGGTTTTGATTTTGACCCAAGAATCCCTATTTCTCGTTGTCATGTGTCTAGCTTTCTTGTCTTGTTTCGCGCCGCAGGAGGAGATAAAGAAGCATTCCACCGCCTGAGGATGGCATATGGGGTCCTCTGCGCTGCACATTCGACCTGCCCAGAGGACAAGATTGTTGAGAGGAACTTTGAGACCAAGGCCATCCGTATCAGTTGGTGGTTTTTAACATGCTGTTGATGTTTTAGATCTTCACCGGCGGTGTTCATCGGGTTTGAGCAAGATGACATTAAAAGACCAAGGCCATCATGGACGGATGGACGCTCAACAAGGAGGTGGAGCTGTTGGACGATGCTGCCTTGGCATCCTTCAAGAAGGAAACTAAGGAGATGCAGGTCGGCAAGCTGGAATGGCTCTTGGCTTCACTGAAGGGGCTCCAAGAGAAAGTGGCAGTGCTCAGGAAGGACTTGCGCAATGTGAAGTATCATACGCTTGGGCTGTCCCCCGGTGCTTCCAAGGCCCAGCTGACCAAGGCTTACCATCAGCTGGCGCTCAAGCTCCATCCGGACAAGAAGCGCTTGGACTCAGACGTGGCTTTCAAAAACTTACAGAGCGCCTACAAGGATTTCCTGGATGAAGAAAGCGTGAATTGTGTTGCCCAAAGAAATGCTTCTGTGTTTCCCAAACAGAGCGACAGTCAAGGTGGATATTTACAATGTGTGTGTGTGTGTGTGTGTGTGTGTGTTTTTTTGCGTGACATGCAGGAACTCCACAGCCAGCCTTAAGCCAGGAGCTGCTTTCGTGCGTCGATGGGAGCGCTGCGTCTGAGGAAGCATCAGACCAGCCAGCCACCGAGGATTCCAAGGCCACAAGCCCTGAGCAGCAGCTTCAAGAGCGGTACCTGTTGATCCGGAAGATCGTCAAGAGTGAGAGTTCGCAGGTGAAGGATTTGCAGACCGAGTTGGACAAAGCGCTCATGATGCCCGCATACTGAGCCAGTGGGCCTGGCAGTTGCATAAGTTCAAGTGCTGGGGATGCACGCCCATTGAGTCAGTGGGCTGTGGGCAAGTGCACAAAGCGCTGGCGATGCCCGCCCTCTGAGTCAGGGGGCTGTGGCAGTTTGGGATTCGCCGTCATTTCATGGTGATAATAAAACAGAGGGCCAGCTGCTTTTGATCTGCAGCTTTGGAGATACGAGCTGTTTCCTTGTGCCCATCGGCTTGGAGTAGCCCTGAAAGATGGAGCTGCTTTTGGCCGATTGTCCAAAGGCTCGCAAGGTCACCCAAGTAGCACTGGGTGTGCGTTTTTTCTTCTTCTTTTTTCTGAGGGTGCTATTTTGTGGTTGTCTGAAAGAGAAGCCAAACGGAAAGCCACGCCAATTGCCGCCCTGTTGTTTTATGTTAAGACACACCCAGCACCCATATAACTTTCTCGGATCGCACTTTCAGCGTTCGGCCCAACTGCCTGAGAGTGTGATTCATGCTGAGGCTGGAACATCTGAAGCGCGAAGGCCGGGGGATGACAGGAGCACTCAAAACCGATTCCCAAAATGGTCATTGTAGTCGGTAGTTCCGCTACCTGGTTCAATGAGAACTATAGTATGGCCCACTTGTGATCTTTGCAAAGACCACAACGAGGCAGAGCAGTTTACAAGGGGCCTGAAAACGTGAAGTGCGATTTTGATTTGTTTGGTTGCTCCATGTTTGGCAGAAACGCCCAAGCCGCTGCCTTTGAGTGCCTCACTGTCTACGGGGCGAGTCGTACCTGTTGAAAGTACAGGGGAATCCTTGCCGGTTCCTCCTGGTCAAACAAAAGCTGCGGCGGGCGGTCTCACAGTGAAGACTCTTCACGGTGTTTCCGGTCGTCTGACGCACGCTTTCCCATGATCAATAAACATGTTTGTCTGCTTTGAAACCGATCTGGCGTGTCCCCCAATTTAATGACCTCTTGGTTCCCAACTTGCTATTTCGGCAGCCAGTTGTGAGGCGCACCATTCACCCGAGCACACGCTCCCAGAGCAGTGAACGCCCCACGCCAAAGTTAGCGTCGAGCTGAGAGCAGCGAGCGCGGAAATTTGTTGCAGGGGCGTGGGCGGGATCTTCCGTGATGCAGACTTGCGCAAATTAGTTCACGAGTGCACGAGGAAACGAGCTCACCCATGATTTAAAATCCTTTAATGCCAGGGTGTGGCTGGTTTGGGAGGCGGTTCAGACCTGGGGCTCAGGAGATGAGGGCTTAAGTTTTCCATATATGTTCCAGGCCGTGAACCCCCCCCCCCTCCCCCCCCAACCCCCTGGGGGTGGGGTGGGGTGGGGTGGTTGGGTGGTTGGGGTGTGGTTTGGAGTTGGTTTAGGCTTGGTGGGTTGGTTTAGGGTTGCGGTGGGTTTCGGGTGGGTTTGGGGTTTGGGCTTGGGTTGGGGTTGAGGAGGAGGGTTGCAGGGTGGTTTGGTTTAGGGTAGGATGGGACGGAAGCTGCAGGGGTCACAGAATATTGGACAGCATTCCCAGCATTGCCAGCATCATCCCCAAGATGCAGATGATGCGGGGGAGCGGGGGGGACCCTACGGACCACACATACTGTATGTGTATATATACATATATATATATATATGTATATATGTTTATTTATTTATTGACATATGTAACAGCATAGTATCTTCATATATGTTCATGTAGTACATTATGAAGGGCCTTTTTATTGATCATGGATAGCTGGCTCGAGTTGTTTCGCTCTGCTGTAGAACTTTCGAGAGCGAGAGAGAGAGAGAGAGAGAGAGAGAGAGAGAGAGAGAGAGAGAGAGAGAGAGAGAGAGAGAGCTACTGCCTAAGGCGCCATCCCTCCCGGCTTCGCAGGGGGCTCGGGAACCGTCATTGCCCCCTCTTGGAGTTCAGACTGGGCCGAGCGCCCCAGGCTCCGTAAACGTTGCCTGGCAAAAGGGGGAGCCGGCGGTACCAGCAGCAGAAAAACGAGAGCTCATAATCGAGCGTGCCCGCAAGCATTTGCGCATGAGAGTTGGGGATCGTGGGCCGGCGCGCCTGCAGAAAACCAATAGGGAAGCGCTCCCATGAGTGAGCACGCCTGCGAAACAATCGGGGAGCTCCGGGGAGAGCACCTTATACAGCGCCCGCACTGAGGACAATGGGGAGCACCCCGTGGCCTGCAGAAAGCAAATTGGGGAGCACCTCGTAGAGGGCCAGTGAGCACGCCCGCAAAACAAGCGGGGGGCACCCCATGAATGTGAGCGCTCACAAGACAAGCGGGGAGCACCCCGTGCCCGCGAAACGCAAACAGAGAAACGGGCGTGTGGGTTGGTTTGCCTCTGGCGCACCAGTGACCACACGCGACCAAATCGTGTGGTGGCACCTGAGCCTACCGGAAGCCCACACACAGCTCGGGGGTAGAGCTTTCGAGATCAAGCATCCCTATGCGGCGGATCAATAGGGCGTGCCCCCCAATAGTGAAGGCTTGCCTTTGAAACAGGAGCCCACTAAACGAGCCTGGGTTCCCTGTCCGCAATGGAGCAACTGTGAGCAAGCTACAGTCAAGCAAAAAAATGATTTTGGGTTTTGTCATTCCGCTTTCATACCCACAGTTTAAGGGGGATCGGGCCATCCACTTTGAGCACTTTGACGCGGATGAAACTTGGCCGACCTCAAACTGCAATTTGCTTGAGAAAGCGTGTAACTTCCCCTGTTCGGCTACGGGGAATCAATCAAGACTGGAAATTGTTTCATGTTTTTTCTGGGGGATGGAAAAAGCAGGAGGCCAGTCACGCCACGACATGAAATCCATCGCTTGGAATCCATCGCTCGCCCGACATTCGGCTCGCGGATTAGTCGCTGCAGCCCTCCTCCCTAGGAGTTGGGCTGCAGGGGCACGCGTCACTGGGCAAATCAAATCGGAGCCTTGCAAAGGGCGCGCCAACACCCCCCATCCACTTCTTTTTGGACAGTAATTACTTGGGATTTTGGATATGGGGAAAGGCAGTGTTGGGGAGTGCTGATATGTGTTTTCCCAACCGGACGACGCACCCAGCCACTCCAAAACCAAGCCTCAAGCCAAGCAATCGCCGACCCAGACCCACCCCAACCTCTCAAGACCGCCCCCAATTCCGGAGAAACCGCACCGGGTAAGCTTCAAAGGTTATAGCTCACGAGGCCCCATTGCCCAACCCGTTTTCGGTTTTTCGCCGTCGAGCCAAAACGATCATGCCCAGCCGGAGCCAAGTGGCGCCGGAGGTGGTGGGTGCGGCTCGGCCAAGCAATGACCCCTGTCTTTTGGGTAAGAACGACCTCATTTCTAAAGGTTTCTGGAGACTCCAGGTGTGGGTGCAAGAGATCCGGGCAAATGACATTGCAACGTCATGTCCCGTCGCCACCAAGGTGAAGGTTCCTCTTGGACTCTTGGGAGTCTCTGATTTTCGGTGTTGGGGAATTAGTATAGTTTGCCCAGAAAGGGTCCCGAAGAGGAACTCCCTCCTGCAGATTCGCTTTCCTGGTTCACTGTTTCTGGACGCATTACTTTTCGTGAAGATCTGAAAGTTGTTTCGGATGCCAAACTTCCCCACAGGGTGAGGGGAACTGTACTGGGACGACCGAGGTGATGCTAATATTCGCACTCCAGAAGCAGCAGGATTTCCGCTACATAACCACCACCGTTTCCCAAGGAGGTGCATTATGTAAAGTGGATCAACCTTTGCGGTAATGGGGTTGAACCCTGGCGTTACTGGCAGAAGGTCGGTTGCTTATGGAAACTGCGCGCTTCAGGAAATCAGTTGAAGCTTTCCAAGCAACGCCTACAGGGACGCCTTGCAACGGGAACCCAGGACATCTCAAAGGGCCGCCTTTTAAGAATTTAAGACCCTGGTCAAACACGGGCGGCTTCAAGGTTGGTTGCTCTTTGGTGCAACACGTTTGGCCTCTTGAGAACTGGCAGTTCTCCTAGCATCCGTTTCCACCCGAAATTCGGCCCGACAAAGGTTTTAACTGGGGGAGCCCCAGCGGTTTCATTTCCTTCTGTGTCACGCAGTTTCCCCACTTCATTTGCTCCCTTGTGCTTGGAAGTCCCAAGGACACGCACTTTTTGGTCGTTGGACGCCGGATTTGCTAGAACCTTTGATTTGATGCCAGAGTGTAATACCAAAGCTTAATAGATTTGTTTGCCAATTTTTTTTATTGCGAGCTTACTCGGAAAACAAGCTCACCAGGATCCAATTCTTGGTTCATATTTTAAGAATTAATACAGAGTTTGCAGATCCTCATGCCAGTGGTGTCAGGACCCACTATGGATCCGATTTGAATTTGTAAAGCATGCAGACTGGTGCAGCGATGCCAAGGTGCGGGGCGATGTGGCACGAAACAACACGGGAGACACTGAGCTGCAAGCACTGGGCTGACGGACTGTACAGGTCAGCAGGTATAACATGAATACTAATATAGAGATAGATAGATCGATTGATAGATAGCTAGACGGATAGACAGATAGATAGATAGATAGATAGATAGATAGATAGATGGATAGGTACACATGCTTGCCTCTTTTGGGGCCAAAACGAGTTTATCATGACGTAGGTCCTTTACCTGGGGATCTATGTTGCATTTCGGGTTTTGGAAGCATTATCAAAAAGTAATGCGGATATGTCGAGCTTACTGGCATTCTATGGTCCATTTAGGAGGGACATCGGGGACTCACTAAGTTTCCCCACAATTTGGGCTGCGAGAAACAGAGCAATTGAACCATGGCTCATACATATTCTTTCCCGGGGACCAAGTTGTCCCTATGTTGGCTTTTTTGTCGGGGCTTGCTTGTCATTTGTTGGACAAGAATGGGCACCGGAGGGAAGGAGGGGCCTTTTGGCGATCTACGAACGACCACCCTGCATTCTACATACCAGTATGTTGGCCTCTACATACCGTATTTGGATCCTATTTCCCCTCAAAAGTCCCCCACAAATCTTGGATCTTAGATTCTGGATCTAAATACAGCGGTATTTT